ACTCACAATTGAGAAATAACTCTGATGTCGTATCAAGAAACTATCGTTCACAGTGCACTTTTTCTGGCTAGAGTCCAAGTGAAGTTCTGCCCAATCATTATCCTTGTGCTTCTCTCGCATCACCAGATCCTCTGCACATGTGCTTCACTGTCTGAAGCGGGGGCGGCGAGCGCGTCTTAGTGCAGACAACTAGAGTAGTTCCAGGTGAGCTTAGCAAATGATCTGCAGCCATGTCCCAAAATTTATTTCTGATGAGAAAACTACCACACACATTTCTGGCACATTATTCCATATATCTTACTGATCCTTTGCTAAGATCAGAATATAATGTATTTTTATGTCTATGATCAACGCTGCAGTGAACGATTGAACGAGATCAGACCCCAAATACCCCATCCCAAGGTTCATTCTTGTGCCTTCGCGGCATCAGGGCATGCAGCTCTTTTTTTTTTTTTTTGAGGGGAAGGCATGCAGCTCAATTGGTCGGGATCGAACCCCACGCCTCTATACGACGTGTTGCCAGCTGAGGCGCTGTGCTAATACGGGCTCCCGCGGGGCACTGCTAAAAAATGATTTATGGCAACGCGTCCCTTTCTTTGCAGGGGTGGCTCTATATTGAGCCGCCCCTATAAATGGTTGTCAAATGAGTTGTCCCTATAAATCCATTTGTAGGGGCGGCCGGTGTTATCAACCGCCCCTACAACTGGCCCGATTTGTAGGGGCGGCACTATATTCAGCCGCCCTGTAGGGGCGGCTCAATATTGAACCGCCTTCACGAATAGACGCCGAGTATTAAAAATTAAGCACTAAAATTTAAATTTTGTAAACGACCTCGGATGGAGAAACAACCAAAATAAAAGTTGTAGATCTCGAAAAGTTATGAAACTTTGTAGTTGACAACGTTTTGATTTGAAATCATCTTGTCAAGTAAAACTACATTTTAATTTCCAAAAAATTGAAATTTGAATTTTTTAAACGATCTTGGATGGACAAACAGTAAAAATGAAAGTTGTAGATCTTGAAAAGTTATGAAACTTTGTAGTTGATAACTTTCTCATTTGAAATCATCTTGTCATGGGAAACTACGTTCGAATTTCTCAAATTTAAAATTCAAATTTTGGAAGTGACCTCGGATGGAGGAACTACCCAAATAAAAGTTGTAGATCTCGAAAAGTTATAAAACTTTGTAGTTGACAACTTTTTCATTTGAATTAGTTTAGGGCCCCAAACAATCAATTTATGCTCAGTTTTGTATAATATGTGGGGAACCGAAATAGACTGTAGACACAAGTGATCGTGAGGTGCAGTGGTAGAGGAGTTTGCGCGCGTGGGAGAGGTTGCAGGTTCGAATCTGTGCAAAAATCATGAAAAATGCTACAACCATACAGTGGGTGGTGTGGCTGCCGGTGGGGACCTCCTCGGATTAAAAAAAATTGCTATTTTTTTTTGCCTCTTTTTTCGTGATTTTTGAAAATTGATTTGTAGGAGCGGCTCAATATCTAGGGGCGACTGATAACACCAGCCATCCCTACAAATCGATTTATAAAGGTGATCTGAAAACCACCTCTACAAATATATAATTTATAGAAGCGCGTGAATAAAGATGGCTGGACAAACCGCTCCTACAATGTCAGTCAGCCTGTCGCTGTCACGCCGCGCGCTCTGCAGCCTCTGCTATATACGGAGTGTGGACGACTGGGCCAGTGCAAGCTGGAGGCGCTGTCGTTTGGACGTGTCGAACCAATAGCAATATCCCGTGCTACTACACGCTCGCTGGAGACGTACGTGCCCTGCGAGCACCGGCGCCGACGAACATGCATGCATGCAAAAAGCATCGTCGTCGCATGTGTCACGGACGTGGTGTTGCATGCGAAGGTAGGTAGGGCTCGGCCGGCCGCATTCTAGCTACTACGTACGTGACATATGCCACTTCGCATGAGACGCCACACACAAATGTCATTTTCGTTTGGCTGATAAGTCATGGCTGAAAGTATTGTTGATTAATATATTATGAGAAAAAATATTATTCGTTGACTGAAAAAATACGTCTTATAAACCAAACGAACGTGACGAAAAGCTAGAGATCGAGTCGGTTGCGTCGGTCGTATTTGCAATAATTTGCCTGTGTTCAGATCTGTGTCGTTAGGTGGGTAGGTGCATACATAATACATGTGCGCTCGTGTCCGTTGCATGCATGTCCTGGCTGTGTTTGTTCGTTGTGCGGTTGATCGATCCCGCCGGCAAGAACCATGCATGACAATGATGCATGGTGTCTCTTTACCTTGCTTTGGTAGATGTGTTCCGGCCAGGGTGCCCATCACTCTGCGTTGGATTTTGTGACGTTCTGCCGAGGCTCACCGGTGGCAGAGCAGTGGTCCAAATAAGGTGCGTTTGGACGCTTTTATGTTTGTTGAAATAATGCATCTTCGGTTGTTAAACCTTTCCCATATTGCTATATGATCCACGAACTCTCAAATTGATCATCTAGATTTTTTACTTTTCAAGTGGTTCATTCGAAGTCCGGATTTGGGTCCATGATTGGACCTCAAGTTAATTTAAAATGAGCTACTTGAAAAGTTATAGGGCCTAGATGATCATTTTGAGTGTTTATAGATCCAGACGAGAATGCGGAAAAAGTTTAATAACTCGTGGTCATTTCACTCTAATATAAAAGTGCTCAACGTGCTCAGTACCTTTGTTGGCTTTTTTATTAGAAAATGTAAGTTATATACCGGTTTCTACATGTGTCATGGATTCAACTAATGTTTATTACAATTTCAGCCTTCAGTAATAATAGCAAGTTCTCAAAAAGCTTCCAAGATACAAAAAAGGTCACGTCAATCTAAACATAAGTTTATTAGAGAATACGATCGACCACCCATGTTTGGTAAAGATTCCATTGTTACTGTCTCCAGGGTACGACTTGCTCAATTTAATCTTGGTCTGTCATATTCCTTCTATAGGATGGACCATATATATAAACTTGTTGAATGAGTGGCCCTAAAAAACCATAAATGAGAATATAGTATCTTTTTTGTCAAAAACTAAGTTAGGATCAACCACATAGACGTAGAGCTAATGATTATTCTTGCTCTCACACAAATTTGAGAATGCAAATTGTTAATTACTTATTGAAGCCAAGGACAAAAAACAAACAGCAGGGTTCCTTGGCGGGTGATGTAAACCAAGAGCAGCTTTAAATACCTTTCAAACAAAGTCTGCTATGTGGCAAACGAAAAAAATGTTGAATAGTTTCTCTCACTTTTTTTTTTGCAAAAACAACAACTTTCATCTCTCCAATTATGCTTTATAAGATTGTCTTTAGTTCAAATTAGCAAAGTGGCCCGTGCAAATTGTGCAACTATCATGTTGTTCAATCTTAGTACAACTTAACATATACTCACTATCAAATATATGACTTCATCAATGTGTTATTGAAGTATAGGTGCTCCATCATTAGCGTTTTGCAATCTATCCCTTGATCCTATATTTAGCATATACACCAACTCGATATATGGAGCTGCAACCTATATCCTCTCTTTTACCATTCAATCTTATCTTATGCTCATTGCTCGATGCCTTCATAGTCATTTCTTATCACGCTAGAGATTGTGTGCTGCTTCTCACTGCGTGGATTACTTTTTTTCTGTTTGCCTTAGGCTATAGGCTCAAGCCTAGAACGGAAACAAAATGCATGTCTCCTTCAGTTCGATTGTGGTTTCGTCAATATCACTTGTAATAAATGCAAATGGAGATGCCTTTGTTTTGTTGTGTGTTCATCTTGTCATTTGCTAGGATAACACCACCATGTGTAGTATCCTAAGTGTCAACACATTTTGACCTTACATTGAGTTGTCCCCTTCTTCTATTGTGAGGGGATAATAGATAGACCCACAAACGCAAATGCTTGCATTTTTCACAATATAGATAGATCATAATCCTCTTGGATTGGATTTTTATCTTTACTTGTATTTTATCATATATTATTTTGTTTTAGTTTCAAAGTTGTAAATGCATTCAACATAATGTACATATGTGGTTGGCTTTATAATTTTTCCTTTCTTTGGTCGAATTCATTTTTTTCTTATTAATGGCATTAGTGGATAATAACGGAATAGGTATAATTGTATTTTCAGCTAACTTTTTGCATAATCCCAGCGGTGAGCAATTTATCAATGGTTTAGGAACACTTTAATTTTATTTTCTCTGACCATAAAAATTAACGTAGAGATTCTTTTTAATTAGGGATAGGGATAGATAATACATTAGTACACTTGTAAGCACACCAGTCCGGCCAGTTCAGCCCAGCCCAAACAGAAGATCACAGGTTTCCAGCAGGTTGTGGCCCAAAAGACTGCGAGGATCCAGAAAAGGGTAATGTCTCCTGTAGTCCTCGTTTCCTCCATCTCTTTTCCAGCGGCCGTTGTTCTCATTTCCTCTTCTGCAGCCTCCCCGGAGGCCCGGACGCCGCTGCCGCTTTCTGCACCGTTGTCATCTGGGCCGGTTTCTTCCATCGGCATGGAAACCTCCGACTTCGCTTGGCTAATTATTGATAATAAATGTCTTCGGGCATTCTCCGTCATGCGTACTCCCTTCGTTCCGTAAGTCGTTGTCTTTTTAGATAAGTAGTTTTTACTTTTTACTATGCACCTAAATATATGCTCAATGAGATAATATATATGCTCCACAGAACTTAAGCTGACAAAGCTTTTGCTGTTCTTGCTCATTAACAACGAACGAACAATGTGAAATGCACAAACAGCAGATCCCACCATCGAAAGTTTGGCTCACTTCATTTTGCCTACAAAACTTCTCATGAACTGCACAATTACCATGTTCTCATCTACCAGAAGTTTACAGAACTTCGTAATACAACAGGCAGAACCAGCTAGACACAGAATCAGGTGGATCCGGCGACGAACGACCGGAGTAGCTGCAAAACAAGAGCATAAACAAACCAGCTGCTCCCTGGAAAGTTTTAACCAGTTACAATCGATATCTCAACACTGAAAACAAACTGTAAAATCCAGCACCGCTTCTTCAACCAGCTCGTCCATTACTCCCCCTTCGAGCTCCTCAGTGATGTCAACCACCTGCGCCATCATCAGTTTCACCCACCCTCTTGCTTCCACCTCCTGCTTCACAATTCTGTCCAATATGATCCCAGCATTATCTCTCTTGCTCACCACAAACATCCGTGCCCCATATATCCAGTCCTTCAGGATACTCCAGACTTCTACCCCCAGATCAGGAGATGAGGTACCCCTCCATGTCCTGGAGTGTCTTTTACTCCATGGGAATGCGCTCAGTAAGGTGTTCTCACCGATCTCGATAAGAGCAACATTCACGCAGTCAAAAAGAAGCCTTCTGTATGAACTTTTCTCCTGCAGCTCTGATACTTTGTTGCACAGTACCGGATCAAGAGGGTGATCAGGTAAATGCCAACCGGTGAAAACCATACATGATTGTGAAGTGCCTAATCCAGCTGATGACATTATATTTTGCACAAGGACATGGCATTCTGACTCATCATCATCTACATCAGGGAGAAGAGAACTCAGCCTTGGGTTACAAAGTGACTGTGACTCTGAAGCGGTGTCATCCCATGATAAGAAACGGGCGACTGTTTCAATTGCTGAAGATCTTGATACTGCTTCAGAGAATAAATCAGAAAAAAACAATATAATCAGATCGAGTAATGGAGAGCTTTGATACAGAAAAACAAGACTTACTTGCATTCTTGGAAGTAGTTGTTCCAGGTGTTTCAGGTTCATTGCAACTGCTATCTTCAGAGGGTGCATCAAGAACTGATGTAGGGCTTGGTTGATCACGGTTACTATTTAGGCATTTATTTACTCCTAGTTTATCCAGGTTTCTGGTTGAACTGTCCAATGATACAGATGCACCAGAAGTTGTTCTCTGTAATGCAATTTGTTATCAGTTGTTTTGAGGCCAAGAAGTCTGGAATGCAGTGATATAGTTCTAATGCAGGAATAAACAGGTAGCGATAAGTCAAGAAACTCAACAGAAAGGGCACTCCACCAATGTGGTATGTTTCTTATGCAAGAACAGAAGAATATAACATTGTACTCTCTCCGTTCCAAATAATAAGACGTTTTGGCTTTTCTAGATATGTAGTTTTTGCTATACACTTAGATATACACTGTCTAGATACATAGTAAAAGCAATGTATCTATAAAAGTTAAAATGTCTTATAATTTGGAACGGAGGGAGTATTAAACTTTCATGATATTTGAGAAATGCTTACATCTGATGTGCTAGTTGATATTCGTGTCGGAAAACTATCAAATCTGTCCTCACAATGCATCGCTTTCTCAATGGCATCCATTTCATGATTGCAATCCTGTCTACTATGAATAATACAACCTTCAAGCCTCTCAGCAAAGCAATCAGATGGATGATAAGTGGACATCTGCCTTCTTGGCTTCTTACTTTTAGACAAGAAAAAATCCGAAACTCTTCCCTTGAAAGCTGATTTTCCTTTATCTGACACAACAGCCACTTTCAGTTTGCAGCTCTCAGGATTTGAAGCTTGCACATTCACCACCATGTTATCAGACGTGGATGAAATCACTGGAACAGATTTTGATCTTGAAAATTTCCTAGAAGATCTCTCCCCATTGTCATCATTCTTTCTAGAAGTAGTTACATTTGTAGAACGTGTAGTCAGTTCATTTTCCAGGCCACATGACTGGTTACTGGAAACAGAAAACATCCCAGTGGTGGCCTCATCTTTCTTTGCTTCCTTAATGGAGAGCATCTCACCTAACGTGCATTTTCTCCTCGACAGTTGCACTTGACTCGTCTCATTGCAGGTAACCATTGACCATCGCTCTGAAAGCTGTTTTTTGGCCTCCGTGATTACTGATGACTCAGAAAAGTGGGAGATTTTGCTAAAGGATGAGCTTGAGAATTGACCTTCATATCTTCTTATGTAATTCCATGAATGTTTTGACAGAGGGCTGCCTCCCTCGGAGTCACTGAGGGTATCACCATCTTCAATATAGTTGATTTCAGAACCACTGGTATAATCAACTTCTGAATCACTGAATGAGCTTTCATCTCCCCCATATCCATTTGAGTATGCAGAAGATAATAAAGAATCATCTCTTTGATGACATCCATCTTGCCAGCGCTGCATGATGCCATGCGCTAGTCCTGCAGATCCTATGGATGCCTGGTTAACATCTAATGATCCACTGAGACTATTACGGTTAGTTAACTGAAATGAAGTTGCCCTGGAGGTCAGCTTTGCCTTTGATATACCAGGCTTCCCTGGGGTAGGCCTCAAAAGTACTATTCTACTTGGCTGGGAAGGTATCTCTTCCTTTGGACTAGGAATTTGATGGAACCTTCTCATCTTCAATACATTTTGCTTACCAATTTCTGCCTTGGATAGTCTTATGTCATTAATATCAACAGATCTAATTGGTTTCAGCACTGTAATGCGTTTGGTCTGAGGCAGTGCTTGGTTTGCGTGAAGCCCACTCGACTGTCTTGAGAAAGTGGGGTTATGTTCTTCAGGAAATTCAAGAAATAAATCTCTATTTGAACATGGAAAAACAAGAGCTTCAGGTAACTCCTTTGTACAAAGGAGCTTCTCTTCAATGGCAAAGTGTTCTGGTTCCATGATCTTGTCTTGTGCAATATCGAATTGCTTACTCTTGTTCTCCAAACACCATCCTTTCTGTGAAGTTCGATCATGAAAATAGCCTGTTCTTGATTGTCCTTCAGATACTTCATAAACATCATTGTATTCAATTTTTTCATGACAGGATTGGTCATTTTGTGTCTTCAACATTATGAACTGATGGCGTTCTTTTCCCTGTAAGGTGTTGTTTGTGGCATTTAAATCTCTACTCAAGTCACTTACGGTATGGTGTACAATTGGTTCTTTAGTAGGTAAATCCTCCTCAAGACCCATTAATCTGGCAATGACACTTGGAGGTCTTCTCTTTGACTCTGCTTCTTTAGACATCTCCTTCTCTAATAACATTTTTAATGATGTGGCATTAGATTTTCTGCTTGAAGAATTGTCATCAGCACCCTGTAGATAAACCCACAATGTCAAAAACAATAATCAAGACAAATCAATTGTATATATTATTTTTCCTCGGGCCCTTCAGGAGAATGGGCCTGTTTGGATTCTCTGGTCTAAACTTTAGTTGTCTAAAGTTAAGGACTAAAACTTTAGACCACTATACTCATTTATGTGATCTAAAGTTTTTGTGAGGTGGTCTAAACTTTAGACAACATTTTAGACCTCCTGTTTGGAGACTTAGGAGAAGTGGCCTAAAGTTTAGTGGCTAAACTTTAGTCCACAAGATCCAAACAGGGCCAATATAATACCATAAAAATTTTCTATTAGCACTAGCCCTGTTCGCTTGGCTGATAAGCCATGGCTGAAAGTACTGTTGGCTGATTTGTTGTGAGAGAAAAAATATTGTTTGTTGGCTGAAAAAGTACGGCTTATAAACCAAGCGAACAGGGCGACTAACTGATAGCTAATGAAGGGCGGGTCTGGTGCAAGCGGTAGAGTCTTACCGCCTGTGACCGGAAGGTCCCGGGTTCGAGTCGCGGTTTCCTCGCATTGCACAGGCGAGGGTAAGGCTTGCCACTGACACCCTTCCCCAGACCCCGCATAGAGCGGGAGCTCTCTGCACTGCGTACGCCCTTTACTAACTGATAGCTAATCTTTACATGTAGGGATATATATTTCCCTTTCTTTTTATTTTCAAATTGTATCATATCGAAAGGTCCCTACAGTCCTTCTTATCAAATGACATTCACCAATATAAGTGTGAGCGAACAAAATTCTAAAATAAATTTTGTATATGACACTCACAAGTTTTTCCTCGACAGGATTCGTAATTTTCTTCAATTCTGAGATGATTCTTTGAACTGATAATCCTGAGAGGAGAAACATTGAATAAGGTATTTTGATGTAAATGATACAAAATAAAAGGTTAGTGCCTGGATAAACTTGACTTATAAAAATAAACCAAGCAATAAAAAAAACAGGAATGGCAGAACAAATAATTGTTTTGTCATTATCTGAAAACACAAGAAGGTATAATACTACAATCCACTACTTGTTGAATACAATACAATATCATCTATGATTTATCCCAACATAAAGCAGAATGACGACATTTTTTATACAGCAATCCTGCCAGGTCTTATTCACAATTAATCCCGTGATTATTTTGTAAAAGTAACCCCCCACCATTACATCCAAATGTCACAAAATACAAAAGTAACACAATAAGTATAGGACCTACTCAAGAAGCGCCCAAAAGAGATTATAAGTGATACATACCATCTCCACGAGCGTGATCAAATACTGGCTTTACTTCAGACATTCTGGTACATAGTTCAAACTTCAAACCAATTGATCAATTTCTCCTGATAGAAGGTAGCTCACCCAGCTTAAAACAATCCATTTGGAACATGGAATCCTGAAAAGCAAACAAAAAGATGTGAAACTCCATGAACCTCGTGTGAGTTGTATGACTGAAACCAGGTAAATTAACCATACGATCAGACCACAACCCTTGTTAGGTGGCTGGGTAAACTCTAAGAGCAGGAAATTTTCAGTACAATAGTGGCCAACTAGCACTAACATAGTAACACTCGATAGGAATGGATGACTGCAATGAATATATTTCAGGAGGCTCTTAGCGTCTAAAGCCCTTAGCATTTAAATGTAAGGGATACTAGATACAAAAAGTCTGTTGCCATTACTGTAGGAAGATGTCGTTGCGAAAACTTCAAGAGACACATGAACATTTTGCAGGCACTTGTAGGCCAGATTAGTACAAAAGAGAAGCACAGTTTATGGCCTCTTCTTGTCCAACTTTACTTACATGAAAAGAAAATCAGCACAGAGAACTAAAATATTCGAGGTGGACAGAGCAGCACTTGGCAGTATGGAATAGTGACAGTCTAGCAGAGTGGCAGATAAAAGGACAAAATAAAAGTAAGTCCACAGAGCCAATGAACACAAGTAACAACGATATGGACGCATAAGGACATGACATTAACGAGTTCGTACGTACTCCCAAAAGGAATCTTGCAGAAAAGATAACAATCTCTGAAAAACTGCATTTTTGTCAGGTAATAGAAGGCAGAATGGCAATAAGAGTGACCTGAAAAATACCAATAAAAAAGAGCACAGATTTCGAGTGTTTTACACTTACTCAGACAAGTGTGAAAACTAAAAAATGAATTGGCACAGAATAACTATGAAGCCATGGACAACCAAAATAGTGCCAAGATTTCCAGGTGACAGAGGAATCTCTGCAGTCTGCACCAACACCATCCTTAAAGGCTCCAGATTTTCTCTGGAAATCTCATCAGCGCCTTGAATCTTGACAGTGTAATCCAGGAAAAGAAAAGGGCAATGATGTTGTGATAAAGTAGAGGGCATGCACTCTACGTTGAATAAAATATGCAATCAAGAATGAGAATAACGAGATGTTTAGGTATGTACGTCTCCATATGTGCCCTAAAACCGAGACAATTCTCCCATGCAGCAACGCTGCAGTGTCTACAGATTAAAATACACCATGAACCATAAACTTTGTCTTGGTTTGCTCATTCCTGACTCTTAGGCTCAGTTTGTGGGGCTCTAGCCAGCTCCGGCTCCTTCGTGCACTGTAGCAAGAAACCGTTTTTATTTCTCTCAAAATAAACTAGACCAATGAAGCAATTATTTTTTGCTTCACCGGCTCTAGCTCCTCCGAAACTGGAGGCCATTTCGATCAATGCTAAACGGGCCATAGTATATTCTAGTACCACATTAGGCAACTTTGGTAGGGCTTCAAAACCGACTCTATTACCTCTGGCTTCTCCAGAAGCCCTACCAAATGGTTACCAGAAAAACAGCTTCGCACGAGAGAAGTAACCATGAAGCCGAAGCCATTTTTGTGCTAGACTTCTGGAGAAGAAAAAAAAACTAGCTTCTACCGCCTACCGGCTCCTCCCTTGTCCCCCGCTTGCGGGAACTGTTCTGTCAAATGTTTTTGCAAACGAATTCAGCTCCATCGGAGAAGCTGTCCAAAGACAAATATTGAAGCGTAAAGAACTACAGTCTACAGAGTGTGAAATTATAGCCATATGGTACACAATAGATGTGTCAAAAACAGCATATGCAGGTCTGAATTTTTACTTATCCATTTTTGGAAAATTAAGGAGTGCACAGAGAGATGGCATAATAATGATACAACAGGTGCCAATGCCATATGCAAATCGATGGGTACTGCATTTCACTCACTGAATCCTAACTCGGCTTTTCTTTTTCTTTTTCCGACCAAGTACTGAATCATAGAACTTTAAAATTTATTTTTCCAACCAAGTACTAAATCATAGAAATGTTTTATTAATTTATCTTCCCAGAACCAAGCACCGGCTCATAACTTCGCCTGAAATTACTACATGTATCCCTACCACGAATACGCAGCAAAAGAAAAATGCTCGGACTCTACAAGAGACAACTCGAATTGAATCGGGAGGTGGCATTTCGACATCAAACTCGATTCTCGTACCCCCAAGCAGCCAAGCACAACAAGAGAGCGAGAGATGGCAGGGCGGCACAACCACCCGTCCACCCCCAAGCAGCCAAGCACCGTCGGCACGCCGCGGCGAGAGAGCGAGAGATGGCGCGGCGGGGGGAGCCGGGGAGGGAGAGAGTCTATGGATGATAAGAGCCGGATGCTAACCTCACGAGACGCGGACGCCGAGCATTCGCAGCCCAGTGTGGCGGCCGGGAGAGGGAACGGCGGCGGCGGGTTCAAGTGGGAGGGGACCGAGGGAGTGGGAGAGTGCGGGTCTGCTGGAGCACAGTTAGGTAGCGAGTGCTTTGCGAGCCGTTTGGTTTGGCTGCTTGTTGTTTCCTTTCGTTTCCTCCGCGGCCGCGGGTGCGTGCGTTTCGTTTGCTTTTGCGGTTGCCCTTGCCCGCGACGCGTCGTGGGCTGCACGCGTGCACGCGCGAAGGCCAGGTACGGGACCGGTGGTGACGACTGACCAAGACCGACGGGGAGCTGCCGGTCAAAGAAAAGTTGGGTTTAGTCAAGCTAGCGCAAGTGGCGTGAGCTCCCTAGAAAAATATTTACAAATTTGACTTAAGTTCCTTAGAACACAAGAATTTTTGAGGAATGAATTCATTTTTATAGAAAAAAATTCTCGCATTCAAGAGGGACATAAATGTGGAACGTGGAGACTCCTTAGTCCTGGTTGTGCTTCCTCTTCTAATAGGGCTTGTTTGGATATCATGGACTAAGCTTTAGTTACTTAAGCTTTACTCCTATGTATTTAAACAAATGGACTAAAAATAGCATAATTTATAGTTTCCAACCTAGCTAGCAATTAGTTTATTGATTGGCAAATGTGAACTAACATAGACTTAAAAGACGCAGATGAGTCTTTGTTCAGGAAGCTATGTGCTTTTAGTCTATATATTCAAGCAACACTAGACTAAATTTTAGTCACTTGAACTTTAGTTAACTAGACTTTAGTCACCTAAATTTTAGTTCTCAGTGATCCAAATAGACCTTAATTGTATATCTTCCATTAATAAATAATTGAAGGTCTTCCATCGAGTCAATTCTTGTATCTTTTGACATGTTCGCTGGTTGGTTTCTGGGCTGATAAGTCCGGCTGGTGCTGGTTTGTTGTGAGAGGAAAACACTGTTGGCTGGTCTGGCTGAAACCAACAAATGAACAGACTGTTTGGCTAAAAACTTGTTATTATTTTTGAATGTTTGAAGTGATATGAGTAGATTTGTCTTTATACTATAATAAATTAATTAATAGTCAAAGTTAGTACATTCGATATCATAAAACATCAATTTCTCACTTACTTTTAACTAGAGGGGGTTATTATTCATTAATAATCACCAACCAAATCATGAACATAGGCATACTATTATTCTCCTTCCTCATTAAGGAATGCCTGGCCCCTGGGCCCTGGCCGTACAGTCCCCCACCCAATACCTACTCTGTCCCGGGGTAGAGTTCTAGCGCTTTCCTTTGTTAAAGTTTTGGACGTGAATTTGATTTCAAAAGCACAAAAGTGCAAGTAACAGAGTTTCTAACGGTACCACACGTGCCCAAAAGAGCTTACGACGACTTTTTTGTAAGGACCTTGACGTCGAGCGAAGTGGAAGCATTGGACGTGCTGTTCCCGGCGACCAATGCTACGACCGGTAGAAGACTCTTCTCGGATGACGGAGCAGAGTCGCGCGGCCAGTAGCGGAGACGTCCAGCTTCGTACGTTACTGTGCTGCCCTTAGTTCGGTTGTTTACCTTTACGTAATATCGAAGTTTGAAATAGTCTGCTAGGAAGGTCCAGTCACAACTGTAAGACCTTCTAGAGCGTTCATCAGAAACGTGTCGTGTGTATGCTTAAACTCTTTTTCTTCTTAATTATTGATACGCAAATCTTTTGCGTATTCGAGAGAAAAAAAATGTCGAGAGCTTCTAACTGCTACGAGCATGAAGTAGGACATGAATATTTTGAGTCTCGGGTTTCAAATTCAGATTGCATCATTGCTTGTTTAACTGACTGCAGAATAATTAATAGCGTCTTAATTTGGGCACGGTACGAGTACGATTGGAGCGCTTTTTAGAGGTCGCCTTTTAACCTGGACAGGCTGAAATGGAATGTGGAGGTGAGAGACAAAGACGAGGAGGTGATGCGGTAGAGCTAGCATCCAACCTGCAAAAAGTGATGGGATGCAACGGGCATTGGGTTCGCATCTTACATTTTTACCGGGATGTTAAAACAGACTCTGTCAACATATTGAAAAAGTCTGCATAACCCCAACTATTCGGGGATTACTTCGTCCGCAAAATATAAAATCGGATTTTCTACTCTCTGAACTTTTCAAAATCGGTCAAATAACCCCAAACGGTTTTAGATATTGGTTTTGCTACAGTGACGATGGTTTTGTCTTTTTCTTTTTTATTTATTTTCACTGGATCTTTGAAAAATCCTATTAAGTCACAAAAAATATAAAAAAGGAAAATCCAATTTTGTTGGACTCCACATGAGTATATCTACAGAGTGAACATATAATATGGTATATTTTAGTACAAAGTTTTTGCTGTAGTTTTGGATCTATGCTTTTATGTAATTAATTGGAATAATTCATAACTGCAGCTTCTATGATCCAATTGTAGTGAAATTTTTATGGTGAACTAATTATTGTATGCTTGAACTTTAGTAAAAATTTCATACTCAATGGATCATGTATAACTTAGTTATATATTTATTTAGGTTTATGCTTGTTAAATCTATGTTTTATCTATAACTAAGTTATACATGATCCAATGAGTATTAAATTTTTACTATAGTTCTATCATACAATAATTAGCCCATCATAAAAAATTCATCACAATTGGAACATATATAGAAGCTGCAGCTATGAATTATTCCAATTAATTACAAAAAAAAACATAGATCTAAAGCTATAGCAAAAAGTTTGTACTAAAGCATACCGTATTATATGTTCACTGTGTAGATCTAATCATGTGGAGTCCAACAAAATTAGATTTCTATTTTATAATTTTTCTGTGATTTACTATAATTTTTCAAAGATTCAACGAAAATAAATAAAAAAGAAAAAAGACAAAACCAATGTCGTTGTAGCAAAACCAACCGTCCAAAACTGCTTCGGGGGTTATTTAACTGGTTAGTTTAGAGAGTAGAAAATTCGGTTTTATAGTTTATGGGTGAAGCAGTCCACTCTAAATAGTTTGGGAGCTACGTATACTTTTTCCGTGTATTATTCATTTCTCACCTCCACATTTCCATCTCACACAACCAGGATTACCTCCTCTTCTGTGGAAAGGATGAAAGAAAGATGAGACGAACCGGTCCACTCGTTGAGCAGCAGTACGAACTGCACAGCGGTGGAGTGGTGTGGTGGTAGCCCCCATCTCCATCAGCCCAGGCCCAGCTCGCTCCACCGGATCCATGTACCCGTTCGCTGGCAGTTCTGCCCGAGAGACGCCACTGTTCCGTGCGCAGACGCCTCCGATCCGCGCGGGCCGCGGGCGGTCCCGCCCGCCGTCCCAGCAGGCCAGCACACCAGCAGCACCGCCGCGCAGTGATCAGTAACGACGGTGGCGCACGGCAGGCAACAGCCACGGCACGGGGCCACGGGGCACCCCACACCCCGATCGCTCGGCAATTCGACAGGCACGAGCAAGTGCAGTAGCGCACAGCAACGCCTGCGAGGCTGCGACCCACCGGCCCGCCCTCACCAGTAACCAGGCGGCAGGCGCAGGCGCGCAGGTCCGGCACGCGAGTGTCCACAGTTACGCCCGCGCTACGCGACGAGCCCGGGGCGCGAGGACGGACGGGACGAAAGCACAAGCAGGGCGACGTGCTGCTGCTCCCCCGCCCGCCGGCCCCCGGTGCACGCCGCTTTGCCGGCCCGACCAGTCAGGGCAGTCACATGCTGATGCGCTATTGCATCGTAAGGGCCGGCGCACGCCGCTTTGCCGGCCCGACCAGTCAGGGCAGTCACATGCTGATGCGCTATTGCATCCTAAGCGTCCCTGTGTTGCTCGCTGAGCGGCAACAGCAGCAGCCAACAGCGGCAGGAGGCAGGTGCTTTCCGGCACGATCGGTGCCTTTCGGGATTAAATGACGAGCGGTCAAATCGGATTTTTTTGGCCGCGTAGTAGCCGTTGTCCTTTGCTTGCGTGAGATGCAGCCAAGATGTGTGCAGCCGTGAGGGAGGGATTCGCGTGGCTGGTTCATACTACTTCACTGTCGTATGGAGAGCGGTACGTACATTACATGCTACTACAAGCAGCAAATCTGGTGGAACCATCACGGAGTTCAAGAGCATGGAAGTTGTTGAGAATATTTTGCTTAGGGTTCTTGAAGCACGGCGGCCGGTCCGCCACCAAGAATAAAATCCCTAGCACGGAAATTCAAGTGATACGGCGTGGTATCTTCTTGGGAGAATACAAGTGGATTTTGTTACGTGTTTCTCCCATGACATGTTTCTCGACAAGAAAGCATCAAGGTTGTTCCGCCCTGAACGACAGATTTCTCTCATATTTTACGACTTGCGCTTTTCACTTGTTATGATGGCATCTCGCATAGTCGCATATGCATGCAGATGATCACCACCATTCACCAGCTCAGTGTCAGTCACGCTGGCGTGGATTTTGGAATATCTCTGCCATACCAGAGCACAGGATGAGGAATTGAGGAGCGAGACCAGGCCTTTGGGTCTAGTAAAAAGTGGTTTTGGTCGCCAGGAACTGACAAGGAAAGCAAAGCGTTCAACTGTGCAGAGAATATGTAGCTTTTTACTGTGGAGATAGTAGTACTGTCGAGCTCTATCTCTGTAAATTTCTTAGAACAAAGTCTCACGTGTTTAGGGTAAAAATCTTCAGTCAAAAAGCTATGGAAGCAACTCTCTTTGCACGGACAAAGTTCGAGATTTACCTTGATCTTGGAGGTTCTCGATGTACTTTAAACATACGGAGTAGCTAATTACGGTATCGATTGCGAAGGGAGTAGCTAATGTAAAAAACAAAGAGAAACCTAAAAGGAATGTATTATTTATTCAAAAAGAGCATGTCAGTTCAACGGAAATTTGAAATTGAAGACGTCACTCCTTTAGCCTCTCTATCCATTTTGTTCATCAAGCCCCATTGAAAAATGAAATTGGATTTTTGGGAGAACTTTAGAATAAAAGCTAAACAAAGAATTTATTTTGGAAAGGGTTCTTTCTATTCTAGATTATTTCTCTTAGGATGGATTTCATCCTCTTTTTGAGCAAGCGATCGAATATTCTCCTATTTTCTTTTAACTCATTATTTCTTTTTATTTTAACTCATTATTATATTTCATATGGAATAAGACGAGAAGAAAAGCATTCCATGACCTGAGGGCCCCTGAAAAAGGGAACTCTTCGAATTTACATTTTCTATTTATTTTTTAACCCAACAAAAATTGATTTGAAGTTAATTTAATTATCCTTTTCTTTTAAGTCCTTGTAAAGTTCCATGTTTGTGGTTTGGTCAACAAAGTTAGATCCAATCCAACAAACAAGACACGGATTCATTACAAATCTTGATTTTCTATTTTACGCTAACCAATTTATTTCCTTAACACGTTTGGAATCCTTCCGTGGTTTGCTTCGTCAGACTGGAATCCTTGCCGTGGTTTGCTTCGTCAGACTGGACAGAAAATCGATGTTTGGTTGTCTACTTGTCTTGCTTGCTAGTTTGTTTTGCTTGCTAGTTTGTTTTGCACACTTTCTTGGATTCCTCTCGCCAACAAGAGCGAGCCAAAAAAAACTCTGGGCCCCGGCAAGGCTGAGCTTGCCAAGTGAGACAAGGCAAGCTGGATTGACAAATTTACCAAACGCGTCGAAGAGGTGTCGATTAGAGCTGCTATTCTTCAGTAATTAAGTACCAAAATTCAACAGCCTATTCGCTCGGTCGTATTTGGCTTATAAGCCATGGCTTATCAGCCAACAAACAGTATTTTTCTCTCACACCAAACCAGCCAACAGTACTTTTAGCCATGGCTTATCAGCCAAATAAACACAAACGAACAGTATTTTTCTCTTACACCAAACCAGCCAACGGTACTTTCACCAAGTCATAATTTTGGACCTCATGGTATCTCTTCATGTTAAAGTGTCCTTTGTCTAGTAATGATTGCAAATATCACACATCTTTCTGGTCATTGTTTCCAACTTAAATTAAAGCTAATAACTTAACCTATACGTTCAACTTCAAATTTAAAATTTCATACAGCAAACTGGTCTCCGTTAATACTATTAAATTGAAAAGGTTCATCTGTATGGAAATTTCAGAGTGGACCAACACAACTACCACGTTATGCCATTGGAAGATAACATAGGAGCCTCTGTGATGTTATCCAAAGCTAAGCAAGAACCAAAGAATGATACATCAGTAGTACCAAGAATGTCATTGTTCAGGTTTCCTTGGGCTAGCATGAGGCTGCGATGACGTTCCACCAAATTACTGTAAGCACTTCCATTTGGCATGAAACCAAGCACAGCTCCCGAATCAGCATGGGATTGGAGTTGATGCCCTGATGACCACAATTCTGTAGAAGAATCATGTAAGCTACCCCAATCTTGCTTACAAGCAGGCTCTGCGTATGAAGACTGATGGTCCCAAATTCTGGAATTGTCGTTTGAAAAACTTGAAGGGATGAATTTCACAGGTAACTGATCCAACACCTGAAGAAGCCTATCAGAATTATCAGGCAGTTCTACCTCCGTGGAGTACTGCTCCAGTCCAGCCAAACAAGATAGACCAAATGAAGAATCAAGCAGGCTCTTTGCGCCAACCCTGTATGACTGCTCTGGAGTTGACATGGAATTCAGACAACTTGAGTTTGAACTGAGCATGTTATTGCTTTGACTGACATGGAAGTTGGAGATACATCTGAAATCATTGTGATCCAGAATGTCACTCCCACATTCCAAAATGCTTGAAATAGTTGGTTTCACAACTAACTGAGCAAGCCTGGTTGAAAATCCAGCACCAGAATTACCACACACTCCAACTGAACTAGAAGTATATTGTTCTATGGAGCGGCAAAGGTCAGGTTGCCCAGAAGTATTTAAAATTCCAAATGGTACTGCATGCTGCTCCTCATTCTGACAGGGGAAGTACAATCTGTCACGAAATGGCTTGGAGAGTGTTACTGACAACATAGGGTCCCATCCATGTTGATCATAGGAATCAGTTTGAACATTCAAACTCAATTCATTAGCAAAAGCGCATCTTCCATGGACGTATGGATTGACATCCTCTAGTAATGAGTTTGAAACCTGGTTGTGATCAATGTCTCCCTTCAGATTAGAACTCAGAGTATTATTAACACACACCCATGGCAATGCCACGCACTCACGTGCTTCACTACCCCCATGAGATAAGTCATTTTTCCGATCAACAGGACCCTGATTGTATCCCCATGGTAAAGCCATGAACTCACATTCTTCATCGCTTGCATAAGAGGATGACATTTTACCAGTTCTTCTCAGCTTAGCTAATGAATTAAACTCACTTCGTTTGTAATCTAGCAAGTTATCAAAATGGCCTTTGGGAGTAGCAAGAGCTTGTCTGCAGTCCATTTTCCTGTGCCTCATGGACCCTTCTTGCTGCAGCATTACATTAATAATAATAATCAATGGTGTAACTATAACAATAAATGTAGCAGTATGTTGCACCAAGTGTTGAATTACAGAGCACAAAGCATACCTTTCTCATGATGTTGTCGGTGCCTAGTCTCTGCAGGATGTCACGTACAAATTCTGACCTGAGAAAGTTGCTATAATTATGCAACCGTATAAGAAAAAAATAAGCCAATGGATTTCTGCAATATAAGAACCACAACCTTCTTTGAAACAACTCAGCACTTCCCATTGACACTGTTTTTGCTGCTATCTTCAATAATTTGCTTCTCTTTTCTGAAAAGATCTGTCCACTGACAGGCTCTCTGTCTATAAACATAAGTGTAAGTGTCATGTGCTTAACATCCCAGTTTAGTGCAAGAAATGTTAGTTTGTAGAGAATAATAATGCACACACATATTCCGAGATATGCAACAAAACATTAGTCAAAAGTACCAATTTCAAAAGACCTATTGCAAATTAAGAAATGTTCCTGAATCAATACATAAGGAATCGTCATGTCCGATGACGAGAGACTTGTCAGCAACCTGTGCTGGTATCAGCCCTGTGCTGAATCAATACTAATTCGTGCATGAGTCAAAAGCAGCAAGGCAAAAAAGTACTTTTTAAGAAACAGCCCATGATTGTGGGCATAGTTTCATTTTATTCTCATTTATCAAGATATATATTTTTATTCTCTCCTATAAACTTCTAAATAAAGAATCAGGGTGATCTTTATGATTGTCTTGTCTCGTAACTTTTTTCATGCAAGCGATATGGCTGAAAAGTTTCCAGAAATGTAAATACTGGATATGGTAAAACTTCAGCAGCAGCAACTAAATTATGCATGTATTCTGAGATCTGAGAGATTAGCACGTGCTCACCAACATTTCCTGAAATCCCTGTAACATCAAATGATGTCTGAGCTATAGGTGTGAGAACATGAAAACCCAGCAGGCAATCATGTGGGCTGACTTGAGGTGTATCTTTATCGCCATATTCTGTGTAGAAGAGGATCCACAGTTATAAGAGTCTAGATATGCATTATTCATTATTCATAAACAGAGGGGCCTGATAAAGATATCAGACCAGAATGGGAGGATTGCACGCTAATTTTCTCGCCAGGAATTTCCTCATTCTTAGCTGGTGTAGCAGGGGGGTCATCACAGTACACAGTATTCTCGTGGACATAGAACTTTTTCGGGGCAGTCACATTGCACGATCCTACAAGACAGCATAACACAGGAGTTCATTCTACTCACCCACTGCAGGTCATTATAATGTTTACAGTAAGAAGGATTAACAGAACAGAACAGCAATGAAAGAGTATATAAACTCAATCCCATACCTTGTTTTTGCTTGGAATCCTTTGATTCAAAGCTTTGATGAGAATGTTTGTATGAACGAGAGCTATGGCCTGACTGTTCACACAATTTCTTAAAGAATTTATATTCTGCAGTTTTCGCATCACAAACTGCATAGAAAATGATGGGTTAGCATATAAAATGAAAATGTTTAAATGCTCAAGCATCTAATAGCTACAGGCAGAAAAATACTTCTGATTATTACAATTTACAACTGAAAATGTTAACTATGTAGATCATATAATCCTATATAAGAACAATGTAGAATTTATGTTATTACAGTAATACTCCAGGAAGTACCGAAATGCCAAGAAGTGAAGATGAAGAAACAGATTGCTAATTAAAACGACATTGATCTAATACGAAATTCCATAAGGGAGGGATATTTGCATGCAGCATTATAGAAAAGAGACGAGTTACGCTGACACTAGGGGTGGTGCACCTTGAGGTTTGTTTTTTGCATCTTCGCGTGTGTTCACAACTTGTTTGCCGCCTATGCATTGACTACCAGCTTCATTTGCAAATCGAACCCTTTTCCCTTGCCTTCCATCTGCTATCAGGTAATCATTGCATCAGACCAAAAAACGCAGAACGATTGCTAGGAGGGAGGGATGCCATGGATGTAGGGATGAGAAGCATACGGACTTAAACAACACCAAAATCAACTAAACCAAGCAAAACAAATCTATCTACGCACACACTCTACAACCGGTCTTCTTTCCCCTCATGAGCAAACCGCAAGAACTCATGCCTTGCGTTCCAATTCAGTTGCAATCAAACCTCTGAGTTATCTCTAATCCAACCCAACCTCACTAATCCCAGCTCAACCACAAGCCAGCGATTTCGGGATTCAAGAACACATCTCCGATTACATACGTCAAAAGAAAGCTAGGGAGATTCCTGAAGACGAAACAAGAAACAAGAAACAAGAAACGGAGGGAGTTAGGCAAGACCTGGGGACGAGGGCTCCGGCTCCGGCTCCCGTAGGGGCCTCGACGCCGGCGGGGGCTGGAAGGTTGGCCCTCGCGGAGGCCGCGGGGGCTTCAGTGAAGTGGAATGGGTCCGGCTGCTAGGGTTCCGGCGCTGAAGTCGGTCCATCGACGCCGCCGCGCCGTCGTTTGGGTCGGCGCGCGCCAAAACTTGGGGGGACTTCACCTTCACGCGTTGCGGGCTGCCAGTTGCAGTTGCGGGCTTGCGGCTACAGATGGCCAGATGAGCCGGGCTAGATGGGCTGGCACGAGGCCCGCAATTTTAGCCCGGCCTTAAGCACACTGACAACGGCAGTAATTCGCGGAAACAAGACCAATATTCTTGGTTGCATGTATATTAGCTTATCTAATGTTATGCAGTACTCCCCTCAAAAAAAAAAAAAATCTAAGGTTATGCACTAGGTTTGCATAGTGCTCAGTACGACATATTTGATTGTATTAAATAATGCCGATTGGGACGATCCAATGCTCACATAAAAATAAAATATTTCTTGTCCCACATACCTCTACTAGAATGTAAGGTCACAACTAGAAAATGGAGGTTAACTACATGTAACAAAATATAAACAACCAACATAATTTTATAAAATGCGTCTTATTTAATCAGAACCAATATACTGCATAAGTTTACGTTAGCTTAGATTATGTTGCATAAGATCTAATGTAAGCTAAGACTAATACAAACAAACAATCAGATCCATAGCATATATCCAGTTGTATAACAAAATTTACATAATCCCTCTATCCCCAAATAAATTAAATTTTAGATTTGTCTTAAGTCAAACATTTTATGTTTGACTAAATGTATAAAAAGAAATACAAATATATATAACACTAAATCAGCATATTATAAAAATATATTTTATGGTGCATTGAATGATACTAATTTGGTGTTATAAGTATTAGCATTTTTTCTATAAATTCAATTAAATTTGAAAAAAAGTTAACTTAAGACAACTCTATGAATTAATTTACTACGGGCCAAAGGAAGTATCCAGAAAAGCTAAAAAAAAGAGCGTGCACCTGGTCAGCAGAGAGCTCCGCCTCTGTATGGGTCAGGAAAAGGTGTTAGTGGCAGCCTTTACCTCGCTTTGTGCAATGCGAGGAGACCGTGATTTGAACCGGGACCTTCCGGTCACACAAAGCGGTAAGACTCTACCGCTTGCACCTAACGTCAAACATCCATGACTTTTTTTTAACGAAAAAAAAGCATGATATAACATATATTTTTTACAACAAAACGACAAGCTACCATACAGGTATACAAAAAGGCTGCTTTTGCAGGAACACTTATGTCGTATGTTTAGGGCATTAGGCAATGAGGATTGCTAAAATCACAACAATGTTCATAAACCAACTAGTAGAACTAGTAGCAGTGCTAATCTACTTTTCCAGGAATACTTAAACTGTATGGTTAGGTACTTAAGCTTCAAAAAAAATATACAATGTTCATAAACTAACTAGCAGCACTAACCTATCTGCAGACCTTGAACTAATCTGGGTAAAACATATGAATTACTCATACAGATCTCTAGAAGTACATCTACAAAGCTGCCAATTTACAGAGTACATACAGACTATTATGAGCCATGGTGATAAAATGAAACACAGGATTGTCATTGGAAAATACTTGTGATTTTCTTCATTGCTGTAACCAAGATAACCAGCTACAATTATGATTCCATGAAATCAAGTGACCCACAAAAAGATCAAGTATGATGTTTTTTTCACGGAAGATAAAAGTTCATGGCTCTCTCAGTAAAGAGCTATTTCTCAGATTTGCTTGAACCACCAACATAAGCAAAGACATTTTTAAAAGGAAATAAATATAAATCAGGTTCAAGAGCACTTTGATCCTTCAGTATTACCTTTATATGCACACATTGTACAAAATCTAAATGGAAGAGCATCTTTTATAATGCAATGATACACAGCTCTCTTGTGTATTCAAGAAAATAAATGGAAGAACATGCAGAGAAGTAAAAAGTATACCCTCTGTATGGCAGGATCAAATGGCATGAAAAGCCGGTGTGAACGCTCAGGCCATGTTTTTGTGAACATCCTATAGCAAGTCCTTGCCGTTGCACGGACCTGTATACGCAAATATGGCATTAAATATAGAACATGTACAGAGAAATTATTCAGGATCCCAAGACTGAACATTAATATGAACTAAGTCAGGAAATTTGGATGGTGTTATTCCAACCTCAATACCTCACTCATTGCATCTGCAACACAGGACTTTATTAGGTCTTCATACAAATCAGCTGAGCAGTGTATTTCTGGAGCATCTGCCCAATACTCCAATGTTAAGAGTGCATATTCGCAGCACCTGCCATAGTAGCAAATAGGCATGAATTGCTTGCAAAACAATGGATGTCCAGATAAATATGATGCTAAAATACGAATACCTAGCACGGAGGACTGCACTGCGGTCATTCTTCGCTGCATCAGCTATAAGTGGAAGAATACGTGAAACCTTGCAGTTGCACAGGATCTGCAAGACAATACATGTAAAAAAAAGGAAAATATGTAATGTAGGGGGGGGTTGAGCACAATTCAATGAAAAAATGTAGATGTATTACAGATTTTATGCAGTTGTCCGCAGATTTGGCAATCATAAGCACAGTTATGATAACAAGCTTAAATTACCGGAATAAATATTTCAGCACATGGTTCAAAATCACCAAGAAGTTCCTTTGATAGTACATTAAGTAGATGGCATGCCTGTAGAGAAGATGAAGTCAGCAAGGTCATCATTAGTCACTTATCTTGTCAGAAAAACTTTTCTGACAGAATTTCTGTAATTAAGGTAGAAGAGTTTTATATACAAAGCAGAGCAGGGTGCTAGCAAAACCGTAAGCCACCCCTAGAAAAGCCCGCTTGGGTCCAACGACCCGCACCAGAAACAATTAAGTGAAACGTGATTTGTCCAGCTACTTGAAGCGGTGTGGAGTGGATATTGTCGAAAATCCTACTGTTCCATTTGTAATTCAAGACAATCCAAACTGAATATTATAGGGAAGAATTTAACATTACATATATAGACCCATAGATTTAGGTACTGTAATGGTTACATTAATGCGTGGCTACAAAATGATAGAAACTGTTGGCCTATGCTCCTTGGCTACAAAATGATAGAAGGATAGGCAACAAAGTGAGTAATGGTTACATTAGTGGGTGGCTTTCCACCACTGAATAATAAACTTCCTAAGTCACTGCAGAGTGCAAGCTGCTTACATCCTAGTCCTAGCTACAAAAATTGGTGGTGCAGTCTTCTGGCACAGCCTCTCCTCGCGCTAAGCTGCCCCTGAGCATATCTCCGAGCAGCTTCTTGACCAGAGACTAAAACTGTTGCTCCATGCTCCTTGGCTCCGAATGATTCCTGAGTTAGTTCTTGACCAGAAAGTACTCTTCTACTTACATAGCAACGAGCAGCCACCGCCCAGCGTTCCGGTGGCCATGTTGCCGAAGTCCGGTGCCGCACAGTTGGTCTGCACATTAGTCAGTATTGACCTGCAGAAGTCATCGAGGTCTCCTGCCACCCAGCTACTCTGGAGCCCTGTTGCCATGGCACCGGTGTTGGGCACCACCCAGCTGCTCTGGGCCCCTGTTGCCATGGCGCCATTGTTGGGCACCACCCAGCTGCTCTGGACCCCTGTTGCCATGGCGCCGGTGTTGGGCACCACCCAGCTGCTCTGGGCCCCTGTTGCCATGGCGCTGTTGTTGGGCACCACCCAGCTGCTCTGGACCCCTGTGGACTGCTCCTGATCAAAACTGTTATTGCTCTGCACATCAACCCCAATCGAGCTCCAGAAATCCAGTTCTCCCGCCGACAACTGCCGCGCCACCGGCATGGTAGATTGTTGGCCCATCAACTGCGGCACCACAATGTCCTGCTGCTCTGTAGTCGGCACCTGCGCCTCCAACTCCGTGTACTGCTCTGACGCTGCGGACGAGAAGCCCTGAAAGTCGCTGCTGCCAAGAAGAGGGCTCTGCCAGAAGTTGTCATCGTCGATCAGAACGAGGTGTGAGGGTTCTTCGTCTCCAGAAGCATACACCACGCCCGAGGAGCCATGATCGAGCATCACCACAGAACAAGGAAGCGCTGATGAAGCATATGCCACGCCTGAGGAGCCGTGATCGAGCATCGCCCCAGAACAAGGAAGCGCTGATGAACCGCTGGCCACGGTGTCGCCGACGCGTGCATGACCACTACTCTGACGAACTTGTTGGCCATCCGGCACGCGCATGCGCATCCGGCCGTGGCCGCTGAAGGCGATGTGGCAGATCTTGACGAGCGACGGGCAGGGCGGCGCGGCGATGGTGTACTCGTGCATCACCCACCCCACGCTGCCGCTGTTCTTGCCTTTGCCAATGTGCAGGTTGAGGTTGCTGACGTGGACCCTGATCCTCTCGCCGCGGACGCGCAGGGACTTCTCGACGCTGCTCTGCGTCTTCCACGTCCCGACGCCGCCATCGCAGGCGCGGTCCTGGCGGGCGCCGGGTTTCTTGGCTTCGCTGGTGCGCACGATGAAGTATGCCTCATCCTCGCTCCCCACGCCGTGGCGCTCGAAGAGATCCCAGGGCAGCGAGCTTCGGCCGCGTCGTCCTCGAAGATGACGCCGGGGAATGGGTCCTGGCCACGGGCGCGCGGGAGGAGGTAGAACTCGACGAGCTCGCGCTTCTTAGGCCGGAACCTGTAGGTGGGTGGGGATGGGATCTGCTCCGCCGACGACGACGACGACATGGATGGGATGTAGGTGGGTGGGGATGGGATCTGCGCCGCCGCCGACATGGATGCGATTTGCTTCTCCGATGGCCAAAGGCGGATCTAGTAATAAAGGGTTGTCCACACCGAGGCGAGGCTTCAGCAAATCAGCGTGGAGCGCCTCCCCCGCTCCCCTTCTCGACAACATGTCAACAGGCGCCGACATGTGGGCCCTCCCCGATCTCCGCTTCACGCCCGCAGCCCACTCAGATACGAGTATCGGTATCGGATACGTATCAATACACGGATACGCTATTCTTCAAAAAAAAAAGTGACACGGGGATGCGGCTAAAATATTTTTCAATAATAATAACTACATATACTTTAATATGAAATAACATAGTAATAGTAAATAAGTGGTGTTTAACAACTCAATAAAAACCACAGCCATGGTAAATATGACATAATTTGAGTGCACACTTAATAAGGCCATAGCCAAGTGACGTATGAGTGTATGACATCACCCTGTTCGTTGATGCTGAAATTTGGCTTATGTTTGCTTATGTTAAAATATTGTGAGAGAAAAACATTGTTCCATAACTGAAAAGTAGTTCTGAATAAGTTCAAACGAACGTGACGTTCAATTGGAGCAGAGGCATTCATCACGCGGGGCCATCTACTCTTACAGTCAATTTTACCCTCGGCCCTTTCTAACATAGCAGCCACTCCGTGGATCTTTGATATTGTAATTAAATACCTGTTTTTGTTGCAAGTGTTTTGCTATCATGCACCATAAAATCTACTCAAGCGTGTCGAGGAATGGTGGACAATTTACTCACACATCAAGTTTCCCTAATGTCTAGGCTCCATTAGACTTACACCGTGGAGCTTCCATGTTTGGAGTTATTACCTTTTTCCTTACATGGGCTCATACTCCAATAGCAAGAAGGCAAGAAAGGATTACCTGTTTAACTATGCTGGATCTTCGGTCAGATAGCTGAGAGGACAATGGAGGAACCAACTGTTTTAAGAGCATAAGAAATGATGGATAATCAACAGCACCTGATAAAACAGAGGAGTGTTTCAAACAGGGTAAGCAAATCATGTTAACAAGAAGGGTTTAGTAAGAATTAGTATGTAATGTTACATTCGAACAATCAACATTAGAAACTATATCTTCTAAAATTATGTTAGTAAATGTGAGGCAGTTCCACTTAATGTCCAATTCAGTTTCATGGTGTTAGCGTATCTGGCTCACATGAAAAAATTGCTGATATTTCATTCATACATATGATGACTCAAGTCGATTTGTGGATATTGATGGTATTGTTCTTGGATTTCTCTTGAAAAAATTTACTCTCCATATAAGGTGTCCAAATCATACCTACCGCACTGCATAGAAGACGGCCACAGCCATTTCTAATATCAAACAATTTTATCATGCTTCATATCATCTCATTTCAAATGTCAAACCTTGTACTTTTATAGTATACAAATAAAAAAATGAATCCTGCTCATGATGGTTGACTCAAAAAATTTAAATTTTAAAACATTACTGAACTTAGGTGCTAACAACTTGTCAGTTAGTGCCTTGGTACATTTTTCAAGAACTTCAAGTCCTCCATGGAATGTATATGTTCTAACCAAAGCTACCCATTGACAAACCAAATGTAGATACTAGATGTCGGTGTTTCGAGTTACCACCAACGAGTAAATTTCTAATATTGCGCGTCTGGCTCGGATGGTGTGCTTAGAGGACACGAGGTTTATACTGGTTCGGGCAGAATATCCCTACGTCCAGTTCATCGCTGCTGCTCGTGTTACTAGTACTGAAAGTTTGTAGTAGGGGTTATAAACGGGCGAGAGAGGGAAATGATCCCAAGTCTCTGGTGGAAAGAATTAACGGGTGTCGAGAGCTCGGTTGCAGCTCAGCCGTGTGCTTTGTGTGTTCTGATCGGTTCGGGTGATTCCGTCGGGGATCCCCCTCATGGGACGTCCTGCTTTCTCTTTTATAGGCCAAGGGAAAGCATGGGATACAACAGAGGAAAAGAGGAGAACGAGAGGGAGAGGAAGTCCTCCAGGATTGCCGGGTCCTTCTTCTCCTTCATGCGGGTCCCGCCGACCTTGTAGACGTCAACAGGGACAGCTCCACGTCACGGCCCTGTCCGTCACTGGAGCCATGTGCAGGCGTCGTCTGCCGGTCATGGTCCTCCACTCCATCCTGGTGGGCGTCGTAGTGAACTGACGCGCCTGTCAGTGTTCGTACGGGGGTTAGGAAGAACAACACCGGTACGCCCGACGCTGTTCCTGATGTGAATCCCCAGGTATGGCCCGTTATGGCCACGGGTTATATCAGGGGGTGCCGGTCTCATCCCTGGTGTAAGAGCTTTGACCCAGGCCCATACGATTGGACCTGGAGTGGTTGGCGGCGGTATGGGTTTCCATCGGACGAGACGGAACCCGCGACCTCGGGGTTGGGCGAGGCAGAGCACGAACCCCAGGGTCGGGCGAGGCGGAGCCCGCGGCCTTGGGGTCGGGCGAGGCGGAGCCCACGACCTCGGGGTCAGGCGAGGCGGAGCACGAACCCAAGGGTCGGGCGAGGCGGAGCTCGTGGCCTTGGGGTCGGTCGAGGCGAAGTCCACGGCCTCGGGGTCGGGCGAGTCAGAGCACAAACCCAAGGATCGGGCGAGGCGGAGCCCGCGGCCTTAGGGTCCGGCGAGGCGAAGCCCACGGCCCTGGGGTCGGGCGAGGCGGAGCTCGTGGCCTCAGGGTCAGGCGAGGCGGAGCCCTCTCTCAGAGGTCGGGCGAGGCGGAGCCCATGGCCCTGGGGTCAGGCGAGGCGGAGCCCGTGACCTCTAAAAGCTCTAGTTTGGTTTTGGTGAATTGATGAAACCCTAAGTGCTAACCTAGTTTATCAAAGTGATTATGAGATAGGTAGTACATTCCAAGTGGTGAAGCAAATGATGATCATGACATGATGATGGTGATGCCATGGTGATGATCTAGTGCTTGGACTTGAAAAGAAGAAAGAGAAAAACAAAAGGCTCAAGGCAAAGGTATAAATGGTAGGAGCCATTTTGTTTCGGTGATCAAGACACTTAGCGAGTGTGATCACATTTTGGTTCGATAGCCGTACTATTAAGAGGGGTGAAACTCGTATTGAAATGCGGTTATCAAAGTGCCACTAGATGCTCTAACTCATTGCATATGCATTTAGGATCCATTGGAGTGCTAACACCCTTGAAAATATTTGTGAAAATATGCTAGCACACATGTGCACAAGGTGATACACTTGGTGGTTGGCACATTTGAGCAAGGGTAAGAAACTTCACCGGTGGAGTGTCCCCCCATAGAGTGCGGACAGTCCGACGGTGCCACCGGCGCACTGTATAGAAAAGATAGGGTTTCACAGAGTGCACCGGACGCTGGTCTCAACTGAACCAGAGCGTCCGATCAATGGAAGCTGTGAAGATGCTGGCGTCGGTCTTCGACCAGACGCTGGGTCACTTCATGACCGGACGCTGACAGGGTGCGTCCGGTCCTGCTGATGTGGCAGCGCACAGAGGAGACAGAGTGTGACCGGACGCTGGGTGAGTCCGGTCAGGCATGACCGGACGCGTCCGGTCACGAGTGGAGGCTTACTGGAAGTGACCGGACGCTGGGGTCCTACGTCCGGTCGTGATCCAACTGACACGTCCGATCGCAGCTGGAACCTTACTGGAAGTGACCGAATGCTGGGGTCCTGTGTCCGGTCGTGGCACTATGCTGCGTCCGGTCATCACTTGACCGTTGGGATCGGGCACTCGGTATTTGAAGAGAGGGATGACATGGCAGCCATCCATTGACCGGACGCTGGGGTCCTACGTCCGGTCAACCTGACCAGAGCGTTCGGTCACCCCGAGTTGTGCCCAGTGAAGGGGTACAATGGCTCTATTTCATGGAGGCTTCTATTTAAGCCCCATGGCCGGCTCTAGCTCTCCCTCTTGGCCATTTGCATTGACATAGCAACCTTGTGAGCTTAGCCAAAGCCCTCCCACTCATCTCCATCATAGATTAATTTTCTTTGTGAGATTGGGAGTGAATCCAAGTGCATTGCTTGAGTGTTTTCATCTAGAGGCACTTGGTGTTCGTGTTTCGCTGTGGGATTCGCTTGTTACTCTTGGTGGTTTGCTGCCACCTAGATGGCTTGGAGTAGCGAGGATTGTCGAGCGGAGGTTGGTGATTGTCTCTGGCTCCGATCGTGGTGATTGTGAGGGGTTCTTGACCTTTCTCTAGCGGAGAGCCAAAATGTACTTTAGTGAATTGCTCATGGCTTGTGTGATCCTCATCTTGTGTTGGTTGTGCGGCACCCTATTGAGGGTTTGGCGTGTGATGCCAATTAGCACGTGAACCTCCAAGTGAGTGAATCGCCACAACGAGGACTAGCTTGCCGGCAAGTAAGTGAACCTCGGTAAAATATCATTGTGTCATCATTTGATTTCGAGGTGATTGGTCTTCATTAGTGTTCATTTATGTGATTGATTGGTTCATTCCTCGACACGGCGGTATAACTATCTTGCTCTCTCTCTTTACATTACCGCAAACTAGTTGTCAAGCTCGTTAGTGTAGCTAGTTGTGAGAGCTTGTTAGTTTGGTTAGTGTGGCTCTTTAGTTAGCCTTTGAGAGCACACTAACTTAGTATAGTGACATAGCCATTGTGTGGATAGAGACTATAAAAACTAGAATTGTGGTAGGTGACTTGCAATTTTAGTAGGCTAGCGCAACACTTACTTTGCCTCATAATTATCTAATCGGTTTGTTAAGTGTTGTTGTAGAAATTTTTAATAGGCTATTCACCCCCCCTCTAGCCATTAGGACCTTGTAGCCTCAGGGCCAGGCAAGGTGGAGCCCTCTCCTAGAGGTCAGGTGAGGCGGAGCGCATGACCTTGGGGTCGGGCGAGACGGAGCCCTCTCCTAGAGGTCGGGCGAGGCAGAGAGCACGACCTTGGGTGGGGCGAGGCGAAGCCCGCGCACCTAGGGGTCGGTTGGGGCTATAGTCGCTCTCTTGACTGCTCGGATGAATTAACGTTGATGACCATTAGCTCCTCCTCTTCGAGTACCCTAGTATTGGTCCCCGACAGTAGCCCCCGAGCCTGCGGAGGAGTAGAATACTCCTTCGGAGGCTTTTTTGAACGGGAGGACCCTGAGGGCCTTGGCCTTCTTTTGTCGCCCACGACATGACCTAGG